ATTTATTATAACTAATCTACCGACTGGGTTAGTGGCGTAAAATCTTACAGTATAGAGACTGTGTTAGTCGCATATTACGCCGTTATATATATTCCCGTTACATTCTCAGTTGACTAGAAAATACCATTTTTTTTCCTTTAAAAGCCCATTTATAACTATTTTTATAAATCTTACTTTTGATTACAGTTTTTAAAGCTTGATGCTGAGTCTGTAAATAAAAAATTTGAAATTATTTGCAAATGAATGCGTCAATTAATTGTTAAATTCAGGCCTGGGTCGCACCAGGGAAGTTTTGGTCAATTATCTGTTAAAAAAGGATTATTATCTGTCATCACAACACGTTTCCTTATGCGGTCAGTGCTCCTCAAATTTCTAAAATTTTGGAAATTCTGAGGAAGCTTCAAAGACACCGAAGTGTATGGTGGGGCAGGCAGATTTTGGGAAAAAAAACAAGACACTGATTCCGGAGCTGTCAACGCCAGTCACTTGCAGTTAAATTGTTGATGTTTTCCTTTTTACTATTTGCCATTTTCCTTTTTACCATGCGCTGGGATCATTCCCAATGCAAAATTTTCCTCATTTTCACTCTACACTGGCTGAGATCTGATCAAGCGGGACCCATGGGAATTTTGTCTAATAGATTCAGTAGTTATTATTCGAACATATTTAATAGTTCAGCAAGTGTGGTTTGTGACACTAATAGCCCGACCAACTCCAGGTCAGCTGAAGGTTGGAAAGAAAAAGATGATAGCCAAGCTGAAAAGCAGAAAAAAACAATATAACAAATGACAGCAAGAAGAATGGAGGGTTCTAGTAAGCCTATGGGTCGGGTCTATGTAAATGCCACCGTCGTCTAAGAAAAGCAACATTCAGGATTTACATGTATTCATTTATCCATCTCTAATACAGGGTGAAAAAGACAAACATTTGTTGTTGTTGCACGTTGATAATTTGTAGAAATAGAATGGCAAAAGCAAAGCAAAAAGCCTTATTTGGGTTCATGTTTATCGATGCCCAATACCTGCCAGAAATGAAATCTGATCAACTGTGTTTATTTTGACCTATCTACGTATTTCGGCAGTGCAACCCAAAAATTGTGTTACATTTTTCAGCGCTTCTGCTTTTGGTTTCAACTTTTTGAAAATTTTTTGGCCGCGTAATTTTTGGTTTGGGCTGTAGTGCGACATGGACCTTCGCAAAGACATTTAACTTATGCACACCAGGCGTGATCTGTTTGTACAGGTCATCCCTTGAGTTGCTTGCAATATGGAATAAACAAACACGAATAATTTTTTTTCTTAAAGCAACATAACTTCCCAGCCCTTTGGGCAAATGCAACTTGTACAATATTTAAGAAACAAGAACACTAATGGGGAGCCCGGTTTCCGCCGTAATTGCTGACCTGTACATGGAAGCTTTTGAATAACAAACCTTAGCAACCGCCCCAGAACCACCGAGGATATGGAAGCGCTATGTAGATGATATGTTCACCATCATGAAACAGAATAATGTGGATAATTTCCTGAGCTACCTCAACCAACACCTGTCTATCCGCTTCACCATGGAAACTGAGAATGACAACAAGATCACCTCTCTCGACAGCCTCGTAACAAGGGAACCAGATGGTAAACTACACACAAGTGTATATAGAAAGCCCACACATACTGACCAGTACCTCATGTATGATACACATCATCCAAAATCAATAAAACGCGGTATTGTCAAATGTTTACATGACCGGACTGAACGCATCATCACCAAGCCATCAGGAACAGCCCAGGAGAAAAAACATTTATCCACAGTTCTTGTTGCCAATGGCTACCCTTCATCTTGCTTGCAACCCAAACAACATAAACAGGGACAACGGAGCCGAAATACCGGAAGCGTGGATGCTGACAGTTAGAAAACATTAAAGCCAGGGATGTACGGCAAATCAGCGAATGCCTGAGGAAACCATGGTACACAGAGACAATAGCCGGATCAAAATGCACCAATAACAGCGGACCACCATGATGCATAATGCTGTACTGGAACCAGTCGACCCCATCGCCTGAAGAAGACTTGCAGTAAGCAGTCGAAACGTCAGGATCTACATCTAGTGAATTTGTCATAAGACTACAGAACAAAATTTATATTAACAAATTGTAAGTGCATATTAATTCTTAATTTCATGAATAATATCATTATTACCTCATTGAATAATATCTATGAGAAAATATTTTGGAAAGCTTTTCATATTTATGCACAAGCAAATGAAGAGTGCACATCACATGCAGAAAGTGTGATTTGACCGTAGATGTGTTTTCTTACTGTAACTCCTTAATTTTTCAGTTTTTGTTTTAATTGATAGATCTTGTGACGCAGATGTTCCAGTGGGTGTACGAGTATCCCAATGGGATGTTTTGTGTGTGGCTTGGGCCAACATACCCTTTTATCTTCTTGTACAAACCTGAACTGGTGGAGGTTAGTGAGTTTGATATATTTTATTTCTTGTCACATACTCATGTAACAGAAGGGAAATTATTTAAACAACACAAAATAAAAATGCAGAAAACAATGTTTATGCAGTATCATGTAAATGTAGTATTATGGCAATTTTTTTTGGAAGGGTTACAAGACTTTTTATGAAAAAAAAAACTAAATAGAAAGAGGCAAATTTTCTGAGAAGGAAACAAGAGTGTTAGTGATTGATGCAATGCACACCTTTTTCTCACTCTCACCAAAGACCATAACAGGAATACTGTCTTTAAGATAAAATGCAGAATTACAGGACGGGTGTAGCTGTATGACCACCAAAAACATAGTTTTCTTAGTGATATCTGCCATGCAACCAAGGAGGTTGCAGCCTTAATGTCATTGATCTGACAGACAAATAGGCCATGTTTGTGTGTGATTGATTAATGTTCTGCAAAATCTCTTTCATTCTGATCTTACTTGATCTTAATTGCATTTTAAATTTATTTGGTTTTGTTTTTATATCTAAAGTACTGCCTTACTTTTTAGGTTGTTTTGCATAGCTCCAAATATATCAGCAAGTCTGCAGATTATGATTTTTTACATCCTTGGTTAGGAACCGGTCAGTTTAAACAATTTAAATTTCAGATTACATTTTACATCACTGATTTGGTTGAACATTGTATAATTCTCAGTTGGGTACTCTGTCCAAGCTGGCCTCACTTTAAACCTTGTCTTGGTCAGTTTAGTCTCAAATTGCCTCAAAGGCTTGTTCTCAATTTGCATGTTGGTTTCATGAACTAATTTAGAAGCATGTGGAAATACTTTTTTTTAGTGTGAAAATTTTCTGATGACCATACCAAGATGATGATTATAAGTGCTGCAGCACTCTCAGATACACATCTACTTGACCATGGTCATGTCACAGTCCAGAGCCACTTTCTAGTTCTTGCATTTTATAATCTGAAAGTCTAGACATAAGATAAACAGGAAGTGCTGCAATCTTTGTCTTTGTCCTTGTCTAGCAGATGTTTATCAGTGTCATCTCATTTTATTTTCTTTTCTATTACATAAATGTTGTGATTTACTATGGATCATTGATGTTGTATTAACCAAGGCCTGCTGACCAGGTGGGGTACATTTTACATACCAACTTACCATGAAATGGTAGAAGAGTTTAAATGATATCCATACGCAGAAGCCTGGGATGGGTTGTTTTACTAAGCTTCGTGATGTTCATTAAAACACATATGTAAATGTACATGTATTGCATGTTCCATGAAGAATTTTGGTTTAATATGATTTTAAGCTTGAAAGACAGTTTCCTCTGTTCCATAAATTTTCTGTAAATCCTAAAACATGTTTTCTGCTTTAAAAAAAAAACAAAAACAACAAAAAGTTTTAATTAAACCATGTGTAATGGCTTGCTACCTTTTGAAAATTGAATGGACAAGTCCCCCTCTTGTCACTTCACTGATAAAAGAAGAAAGGGAAAACATTGTCATTAATTCCTTTCATTTAATAAATGAAATATTCTGCATGTGCTTGAACCTGTTATTATATTTTAGTGATGGATTAAAATGGAAGACAAGACGAAGGTTGATCACTCCAACATTTCACTTCAGCATTTTGAATACCTTCCTACAAGTTTTTGAAGAACAATCGAAAATTCTGGTTTCAAACCTTGAGGTAACAGTTTAAAAAAATCTACATTACACTGCATACCATAGATGGTTGACAGGTTTTCAAACATGCAAGCGTTCACAATGCAGTTTATGCTAATTAAATGGAAATAAAACATAATAATTATAGTGCTTCATGTTATGAGACAAAAGTATCCTCTCGGAAGATGCAAGAGAAGTAAAAAAGACAAAATGACTGAATGAGATTTTTTGTTTCTTTCTCATAAAACTGTGTAGAAAAAGGTCAAGACAGGAACTTTCAACATAATGCCATACATTACTCGGTGTACTCTGGATATTATATGCAGTAAGTACTTTGCACTATTCAGTCACAGACTAAAATTTGATGATGTTCGTGTTTGTTCTTGCATTTGATTATATTCCTTCTTTTCTCCTACAGTAGATGTATGTCTATGTTAGCATACCCTTGTGAACTGAATTCCCAGTTTTCTGGG